AGCCGGCTGCCGTCGTCAGGAGAAAGTCTGGTTTCTGGAAGGGTTTCCTGAGGGTGAGGGTGAAGCGAAAGCTTAGGCAGTAATGCAGGTTTCATTTCTTACTGAAATTTTACAACTGGGCAGGAAAAGAGGACCATCTGTGAGAAGGTATTAACGTCTAGCGGTTTTATCTGTAAATCTCTCTGTGGTGCTGGCCCTCAAACACAACGCGCCTGTGAGGTGCTAAGACATCGTTCTCTTCTCCTGAACGAAGGGCGGATAAGAGCGCTCAGCATTGAGGAGACCAGGACAAGGAAAGAAAAAGCTAGACAGGTGACATCGCTCTTTATAGACGGCTCCAGTTGCTCCGCGTCTTTGGCCAAGAATCCACATTATTAGTTCAAGTGGCAGATGTTTGTTTTTTCTAAGCTCGTTTCTAGATATTTAGCATCGGACCAGAAATAGGCTTTGCCCCTCTCTCAGGGGGGGCTCTTGGCCCTCTGCCTCTCCCTTGCTGGTGTTATCAAATGATGTTGCTTTTCACCCACCCTTGTATCAGAGGATGCTGCCAGAAAAGCATAGCCACGACTGCTCCTCAAGCCCTCAGATAAGCTCCCAAACCTCCATTTTACACATATCAATAACAAATCAGACAAGGCTGGAAAGCAGGCTTTAATTTTAGGCAGCTCATGCCCTCAAGCTCTGGAGTACATGACAGATATATGATCCTCTTACGCTCTAAAATATCAAATCTGCCTATAACAAGGACATTAGCGTTTTTTAATTTTCAGTTTCAGCATTGTTATCTAGAAATCTCTGAGGGGGGAAAAAAAAAGTCCCCCCTTGTGCCATATAGAAAGTCAAAGAGTTCCCTGCATCACTTAGCTGTGCGATCAAGTGGCACAACGTGACGGCTACTTCTTGCCCTAGTGCGATATCGATGGCCACCAAGTAGCTGTCCGGTAACTCGGTGACAAGCCAACCGGGCTGTTGAGAGGACACTTTCTGCTTCAGCGTGTGACCTTCTGTAGCCTCCAACAGACAGGGGAGCCACACAGGGACCCTTCCACCCTTGGCTCACACCCAGGGCTACCCCAGTTCTTTCTGCCCAGTGCGCAGAACTGGTCCATACTGGGACCTGTGAGGAGGAAGTGTCTTCCGTACTGGTGGGAGCAGGGGGAGAGGGGTGCTTCCCTCCCCTCTCTTCAGGCTGAAGGGAAGTTTGCGTGCGTGTGGTCTCCGTGAAAGCTTGTACAAGCACTCAGGTGATCCTATTTCACAGAATCACAGAATGGATTTGGTTGGAAGAGACCTCTGGGACCATGGAGTCCAACCTTTGCCCCGACACCCCCATGTCAACCAGACCATGGCACTGAGTGCCACAGCCAGTCTTTTCTTAAACCCCTCCAGGGGTGGGGACTCCACCACCGCCCTGGGCAGCCCATCCCAGTGCCTGACCACCCTTTCTGGGCCTCCTCATTTCTACTCATTCTCCTCACCAGAGCAGCCTCCCCAGCCAACCCCAGCATCCTTTCAGCTCTCCTACTGAAAAACGAGTGGACAAACAGATTAATTGGGCGTTTTATGTCCGATTCACGAGATGCTAACAAGAAACAGCCAAGAAGGAACACCAGGAAACTCAAACCCGTTCCCCCTCCAACCTGCAGGATGAGCACAACATACTTTTAACGTGACCTGGGTGGCTGCTTGCCATCATCCGTAGGCGCTCAAGGGCTGCCGTGCTGCAACCCCTTTTGCTGGAGCTCCTTAGGACGACGCAGGGGGCCAGGGAGGACCCGCGCAGGCTGCAGCCTAGCAAAGCTGTTTCTACGCCAGCTGGATGCTACCTGCTCGCTGGGGATGCCTCTAATTAGGGAGAAGGGGCAGCATCCTTCTGCCTCACGCTCCAAGGGTAACACCGACAGGCAAGAGACCAGGAAACAAACCTTACGCCTTCTTTGAAACTCTTTGGAAGGTGAGAGCAAAGTTGCCGGAGTAGGATTTTCCACACGTGAATGCTCTTAGCTTAACTCTGCCCTTCTTGATGTCAAGAGAGTGAAGTTAGGCCAGCGTGAAGCCCATCTAGAAATCTCAGCAGGCAAGCCTTCAAACTGGTTATAAGCAAATCTCTGCCACCATAAGGAGGGTCGGCACATTTCCAGCCTCACAGCTCTGCATTGCCCGTTGGTGAGCACCGCACAGCATTTCCCAGCTACGCATAGCAACCAGACATTGATAAATAACAATTTACCGCAATCGTCCTCCATACGCCAAGGCTGCAGCACCCAGTCTACCGTGCTATTGTTGCTGCTCGACCGCTAACTCCAACGGCACTTCTTTGTGCCTCCCTTTTAACGCGCCCGTCAGTAGAGCTGCAGCTTCACGGCTGCCACTTGAAAAGCTGCATCAAGACCGCAGCAAGAGATTCACAGCAGCAGTCCCTGTTTTACACCAAAGCCTGCCAAATATTCTCCATTCTGAAATTATTTTCTGCACCTCCTCCTAAAAAAAAATACTTTGAATTACCTTCAGAACCTTTTCAGATACTCATCCTTATGCTCTTTTTTTTTTTTTTTTCTTGTTGTTCCTTTTAGATGATGTACAAAGGTATGAAAAGCGGAGAGACGTAGCCATAAGCTGCACTGTCTATCAGTACGGCACAGGCAATATTCAGAGCCCTCGTCACTTAAATGAGCTGGATAACATTACAGTTCAGCACTGCTGCTCTGATGCAAGGGTGTGTTTCCTCCTTTAGCCAGATTTCTCCTAATTAATAGTTTTGGACTGTTTTTCAGGGAGGGTGTGGTAGTCTGGAGAGGATGTCTTTCTTTTTTTTTTAAACTTATGTTTTGATTTTAAGTGGACAGTCTGCTCACTACCCTGTTTCTCTCACCTAGAAAGTTTTGCCAGGACCCAGTATTACCAGCAGGCTTTGGAGCAACTGAACAGCAATCCTGATGCCCTGGAAGCCCTGGGTGCTCCTCCTCTGAAGGTTCACAACATCCGACTGACGGATGGGAGCAATCGTGTGGACACAGACAGAGCACAGGTACCGCTGGGGAGGTGGTGTCACGGGGTGGCTTCCCAAGGCATCGGGGCAACAAGATGGGGGATTTTCAGCAGGTCACGAGTCACTTGGGGGGCACTGGAAGGCAGCAGGATGGGATGCCAGTTGATTTGGAAGAGGAACAGATTTCCAGAGCATAAATTTAAGGTGAGGGACTAGAAACAGCAAGAGCAGCATCTTCATGTTGTGCTAGATGGGCACATCACAGAATGCCAAGGGACCTCCCAAGCCAGTCAATCCCCCTCCTCCTACTTTAAGCCACAAAATCATTTTCAGAAACATGTCAGATCCAGCTTTAAAATAGCAACTGCCTCACTCTTCTCCCCCTGGATACATCCCATGCTGTTCAGAACAGAGTTTTATAGCCGCTTACGAGCTACGCTGTGGTACAGCACAACCGGGGTGGTTTTTAACACCTGGAAGTCTGCGCCACGGAGGACAGCCGCGTGGCGTGGGACCGAGCGCGTGGGTTACGCAGCACCTGGAGAATGCTGCCCTGGGTGCTGAAGCGTTGCACAAGGCTGCCTTGCGTCAGCCCAGGGCTGGGCCGAGGCAATCCTCACAAACACCACTCCGCTTCTCCTCTCTTGCTGCCTGGAAAGGACTTTCCCTCAGTGTTTTTACCCCCCAGTCCAGGACTGGTTGCCCTTCCCTGGTTTTGGTGGTGATGCAGAATGTCCCTTAGTGACCTCTCCAGGTCCCTCACCGGGGGATCTCGGCGCAGTTGAATCAATTTTGTTCCTCCTGGTGAGTAGTGTTGAGTCCTGGGGAGCAAGCAAGGGCATTAAGGAGTGGGGCAGACGGCACAGCGAAGGAGAGGGGCTGCCAGGGCAAGAAAACTCAACTTTTAACCAACTCGCATAAAATTCCACTTTCCATCCCCCTCCAGCCAGGCTTCACGCACACAATACCCTGGGCCAAAACGTTTCCCAGGTTTTCGAGATTCTACCAGGAAACATATCTAAGGCCAAAACTGTGCAAAGACCCAGACAACCTCTTAACGCTGACTGAAAAGAAGGAGAGAACCTGTCCCACTGATGTTTTCCTATGTCACTGTTTAAGAATGCTGGTCGCTTGGGTGACTCAGGGTGAAGTCAAACCCTGCCTTCTGCCGACCTCACCCAAGACACAAACCACCACTTTCCTCTCCACTTTTTCATGCTCCTGAGCATTCATGTTCTCATGAAATAAACTGGTTAATCATCATTAATGATTATATCATAGATTGATTTACTGACTCCACAACATCCCCAGCTCCTGGGCCTGTTGGAGAACCCCTGGCATTTTCTCTTTGGGATTGCAATACCACCAGCAAATGCTACACCTGAAACACAGAGGGGGGGGTTAATTCAAACATTAGACCAAGTGCAATTAGCTGTGGTCACTGCTGCAGCGCCTAGCTTTGTTAAACAACCGAGTGGTAGCATTTGTGACACTGAGAAAAAAACAAAATCATTAAACATCTCATTGCCTCGATGCGCGTTAAGAGACTCATCTATAGAAGCTCTCAACCTATGGGCTCGTTACAGGTACGGGAAACTCTAACACAGTGCAGGTCAGCCTGGATCACCATGCGTTCTGGTAAGGAAAGGTGTTTGCTCATAAATATTTCAGAGCGCGAGTGGTTTTCCCTGGGGGTTGCAGCTGTAACACAGTACATTCTTTCAGCAGAGCGAGATTACCGTATGGCAGAACAGACGTACTCGTATAGCCACGCACACGTTAGCCGTTAGAAAAGCTGAAATACAGTAAGGAAAAAAAAAAAAGTTTAAGTTAAGAAGAAGGTGTTATGTATTTGACTGTAGGAGGAGTAAATGTCCATTTCATAACGTGCTTCGCTGAATCTTTAACATACTTTTGCGTTTGCAGATAAAGTTACCAGTATCTGGGACAAAATCAGCGGGGTACCTCTACATTAACTCAGAGATGGACCACTCCCACCAACGGTGCGTACGGGGCGAGGTGCTGGCAGAAACGTATAGACGCAGGGAAAGAAGTGATAGGAGAGAAGAGTGGAGCAGGCTGTTTGCTTTAGTCACCCGTGTTGCTGAGATCACGCACACAAAGGAAGCGGAACTTCACGTCTGAAGGTCTTGTGAAAGGTTATTCTCGTCATTATGACCAAAATGTAAATTAGTTGAGAAATAGATTGCATTCATCCCTATGAATACAAATAGAAGAGCAACACGAGCCATTAATTTGTGTGAAATACGTTCTGCAAACTATAGCCCAGCACACATACAAATAGTGTGAGCCAAGGTAAGGTATTGTCCCCTCGGAGGTGCGGAGGCCGTTGAACAGCAGCCCTGACTCCAGTCTAGCCTTAGGTATTGCAGGAGGGGAGTTGCACATTATATCACAGCCTAGCAAGGTGAGCTACAAATCATGCAGGATTTTTTTTTTTTTTCCAAGCTATCCAATAAACACAGTCCTTACAGCTAAAAGAAGTGCTAGAACAGATCAATTATAGTAGAAGGATGCTCCGATTCCACATCATAAAGTAGTGACTTTACATTTGTGTAGTACTGAAGCCTGAAAACTTCCCTTGTCAAAAGTAAAGCGACAGCTAGACCTGAGCAAAGAATTACTACATGAACTCAAAGTCCATCTCCCATTGCAAAAGAGGAAATTTTATTAGACACAAACCTCTTCACATGTACTTGTTCTTGGAGTTGGTTAGGCACTTCTGTTAGCTCTATTTAGAAACCCAAAGCTACGACGTTTTTACTCAGCTGCCCCCAGCCATACCGTGAAGTTTTTGTAAGTAGATGAGCATTTCCAGCGGAGAGCGAGGAGGGAACCAGAGCCGCAGGGACACGGATAAATGGCACCAGGAGGTGAGCGCTCTGTGCAAGAGTAGTTGAGGCTCCTAACCCACTGAAATGCTGCTGACTCCGAGTGCACAGTCTGTCTGTAGCAGGTGGGTTTTTTTTTTTAATAACCACATAAATAAAGAGGACAACTGAAAAAAAGGGGAAATTTGGAGTGTGTGAGCTGGTTTGGACCTGGAGGAGGCATTCATTCAGGCGCAGGGATGGGGAGGGTGCCCGGAGGCAAGGGTGACCGAGGCATCAGTCCTACAAAATTGATGCTTGCCTGCCCCGAAGCGAGCGGAGGGAAGGGCCTGGGGTCTCGGCAGTTGCTCCTTCAAGCCCTACTATAAATGAGGCAGTTGCTCATCCTGGGGGGGTGATGGAGGTTGGAGGGCTGGCGAGCGAAGAGCCCTGCGGCAGAGCCATCGCACAGAGCCGTCGCAGCCCAGGTACCTCATTGTACGTACTCGGTGCCGACTCCAGCAAAGGCAGAGCTGGGCAAGCGCCAGGAGTTTTTTTTTTTTTTTTAAAAAAAAATCTTCCATTTTCATACCCTGAAATAATAGCCCTTCCCAGCTGGAAAAGCAGCATGAGCAATCTCTCAGAAGTGGGTTTGGAGCAGAGCTTAGAGGAAGGAAAAGGCCCCCCCTCCGTCTCCAACAAACGCAGTTTTCCTTCTCCTTTGAGTCGCCACTGTCGTACCCTGTCAGGGTTTCAGCAGTCACATTGAGCGATCACACAGTGTTCAAACTCCTCCAAGCCAGGATAATTCCTTAGCAACACGGGCTGGCTCCAAGGCTGGAGAGGAGCGGAGCAAGGAATGCACCCGCAGGATGGAGAGGAAGAAAGGCACCGGGTCAGGGGAGGAATGTCCTCTCTAAAAATAGCTGGCAGGATTTTATTTGAGTTACAACAAATAGGAACACGCATCCCAGACCTTTAAATCTGGGCTCTGCTACACTATTTCGGAAAACAGCTTTTAGAAGCTGGCACTCGCAAACCAAGTTTTAAAAATTCTCTGAAGTGTTTTAAAAGCAATGAATGCGTGGAATGATTTGTTTCTCCACGCCAGCTGTTTCTACGCTGCCTTTACTACTATTTTAAAAGCAATTGAAACAAGTTAAAAATCTCTTTTGGTTTGTGTCAGCTGGTGCCTTCAGGATGTTACGTTGAAACTGCGGGATGGTCAGAATATTCCCGTTTACCACGCCCCGGTGGAAAGCATTGGTGTGCAAGAAGGCTAAAAATCAAAGGCAGCTGTTTCTCCACCTCCCGTTGAGCTGAAGGAGCCATTAATCGATTGCATCCCGCCGCGTCCGTGAATGCAGACGGTTGTCACAAGGGACAATTTCACTTAAGTGGGTGTTCGCAAGACGATTTTCTCTCTAAGATTGACCTCATCGTTGTCAGAACTGTAATTTCTTTCTTTTGCTGGTTTATTCACGTGTTCAGCAGAAGCCTAAAATAAATATCTTGCAAAAGACTTGGGAAGTCACGTGTTATGCCCTGTGTGCGCGCCAGTATTACGAATTTGAAGTAAATAAACAAACTGCCAGGAAACGGAGCTTTTCTCCAGTTGCAGACCAAAGTCGTGACAGTCGGGCTGCTCTGTCACGGCTAGAAGACCGTCACCTTCTCAAAGCGATTCCCTTGCTCCAGTTTCCCCCTATTTTTCAACAAGGTTTTACCTAAAGCAGGAGGGACGAAGCAGCGAAGGTGAAGCTCAACAGCAGCCCCCTCCACTCCTAAAGTCACATATCGGGTAGATTTGCACCCCTACACTTCTCATTAAGAAGCCAAGGCCACTCCCGGTAACTCAGGAATCCCAGGAAGATACACGCTACTCCTGCTGCTCACGCCGAAGGTCCCTTGGAAGAAGCCACTGCTTCGCGCCAGCGCTGCCCGACGCGCGTTCGGGAGAGCCCGTTCGCTTAGGGAGGAAAACACGCGGGAGGTGCGGAATGGGTAAAAAACACTGCCACAGTTCACTCCGACTACCACAAGAGATTTCGATTGTGCCTCGATTCTGTCAATCAGGTCGAGAATTGCCTATCGCCAAGAGCCAGTTGAGGAATAAGCAAAAACAAAAAAACCCCAGCAACAACCCAAACCACTTGAAACAAAATAAAACCAAACCCCACGCAATTTCCCACCCTAAACTGCACATTTGAACAATTGCAAAGCCTAAGGCACAGTCTAAGACAAAAAACAAAACACACGTAACTGTCCTGCATTCATACCTTGAAGTAACACGCGAGCCATTAAGAATGTCCAGAAGAAACAGTATTTTGGGTTTATTGTAACAGAGCAGCTTAATCAAGCTGCAGGTAGGAAAAGCCCAGAGCTTACACCACTCAGTTCCCTTCCCTTCCCCTCCCCTCCATCTCAACATCCAAATTTGAGTCCCAGCAATCCACCAAAGGCACAGGCAATGCAAAGCTTTTCAAGAGTAACGAGTAATCGATAGAGAAGGGAGAGCTGGAGCAAAGAATCGTTAAAGACCAGTGAGCGTTTTCCTGCTCAACAACGACTCGGCAAACTGGGCGAGGTGGCTTTTGAACAAGCCTGAAGAGCAAATGCCAAAGAAAAAAAAGGAGATACCTTTGCTGTGGTCCTTTGGTATCTTGGACAAATGATTTTAGAAGGTAACAATACACATGAGCTTTAGTTTGGGATTCATGAGGAACTGCCAGGATGGACAACGCTTGTGAGACCTGATCCGACCCATACGAATATGCCCCCGACATGGCAGGCGAAGGATTAGGGCGAATCAAGGAGAGACGGTGTGTCCCAGCTTTAAGATTGAAATCACTGCTATCTGGTTTCACAAAACAAAATACAAACCACGTGATTTAAAACCATTAGCCTTGCGCTACAGCAGCCCACTTTGCAAAAAAAGCACCCGGGAGATGTGGAGATTCCCTCGTCCACCCAACGTCTCAGAGCTCGGTCAGCTCTGCCTTTCGATCACTGATGAAGTTTGGGGGGTGGAAATCAAACGGTTGACAAGGAAAAGCCAAATCAACCCCTTCGCATCCATCGCTTATCGCTTCCCTGGCTGCAGCTTTGATTCATTACTCATCTCCAAAGAAGTTACGGCCGTGGAGAGCAACCCCAGCCCATTCAATCCCTCCCTACGTCTGCGCTAGCAGCATCTGGCCCTGGCTGCAGCCACCCACCTGCCTTTTGTCACCCCTGGGTGCTTAATAAGCCTGGGCCCTGCAGCAGCTGCAGGGCGTACAAATGTCCAGGAAACCTGGCCACAACCCCCCCCGCCTACAAAACGACGCTTGCTCACTGCCTTCCCATCTCTTGAGCTGGCACCTACGAGATCCACGCTCTGGGCTTCACCATGATACCACCGCCAGGCCTGGCCCTAACCCTGCCTCTCCCAGCCCCGAAGCAGATACCCCCCTCCAAACCTGACCACAAACACCGGAGATTTCATTACCTCGCTTGGGAGAAGCAGAACTGGCAAAGAGGTTCCCTCTCTCGCCTTCCCCCTGCAGACCTCGCAGGGCACCCCTTTAACTTTGAGCACTCCCAGTCATCGTAACCAACCCCTGGGGTCACCAAAGCTGCGAGAACGGGCACCGTCATCACATCGTACCAATGACTCTCTAAATCAAATCTCTAAACCTGGAGAAGGAAGAAAGCAATGGGTGGAGCTGGGAGGCAGCAGATCAGTGGAACGGGACAAGAGTAAAATCACATTCAAATCCCTGCTTTGGTTTTACAACCTAACAGTAAACACAGAATTTCTTACCTCTTGACCTTGAAGAGCCTCAGAAGTCCCTTCCTGTCTGTGTTTGAGCTTTTTTAAGATGCACATATCCAAAGGGAGAAAAAAGCAGTGAGCTGGCACGCTCAGTGCCAAGCTGCTTCGGCCACGTGGCTCCCATTAAACGCACCACAGCCCACGGCGGCTGCTTTCAGAGGGGACACAGGGGCAGCAGGAGCAGCCAGGACAATGGGGAGAGCAAAGGTCTCAGAACCACCAGCAGCTGCTGAAAGCCCAAATAACTTCAAGAGGGCACCTGGGCACCCCTCTTCTCCTTGCAGTCTTTACTTCTAAGGAATGCTGGAGCAGCCTAGGTTGTGTTTAACTTCTTTAGGTCATTGAAGCACTAATTCGTTAAGGTCAGGAGGAGCCTCTGGAGATGGTCCAGTCCGACTGCCTCACGCACAGCAGGGTCAGCCAGAGCCGATGGCCTGGGACCGCATCCAGTCATGTTTTGAAGATCACCAAGGATGGAGACTCCACAGCCTCTGGACAAAGCTGTACCAGTGTTCAACCATTCTCACAGTAAAAAAAAGGTTTTTCTTACGTTTAAACAGAATTTCCTGCGTTTCATTGCGTGTCCACTGCCTCTTCTCTTGCCACTGGGCACCACTGAGAAGAACCTGGCTCCATCCTCATTACTTTTCCCCCGCAGGTATTTATACACCCCGATAAGATCCCTCCCTGAGCCTTCTCTTCTCCAGGCTGACAATCCCAGGTCTCTCAGCCTCGTTAACAGGTGCTGCAATCCTTTAATCATCTTAATCACTTTCAGTATGTTAAATAATTTCTTTTAAATTGGCTTGAAAATTTGCATAGCTCCTTTTCCAGTCATTGGTGTGGTTAAAACAACCATCATCTTCACGACCTTTACTGGATTGCATGTTTGTTTCTTACTCTTTAGTTTGATTTTAATAGCTTCTGCCAGGCAGTCATCACCCTCAAGGAAACTATCAAGGCGGGAGGCTGCTCAGGGCAAGAACTTCATTTACAACTGAGGAACAACAAATATTGCTTAGCAGACTGTGACAATGCTCCCGCCTATTTGAGTTGGACCTGACCAGCCCACGGGGGCTCTATAAAACCAGATGTTTTAAAAGCACTAACTTCATGAAGGCTAAGCAGGCTGATGCGTTCCCTTTTGAGTATGTTTCTCCAGGTAGTAGGAAGGTTTTTGTCCAACTTGTGGGCCTGTCAGTTCACTTCCGAGCTTGGGCAGGTGTCTTGCATTGCTCAGGAAACCTCTGTCAGTTGGGTTCACCTCCCGTTTAGAAATGAGGATGCATCCAGTTCTTTCCCACCATTTACCTCCATCTTGTCTGCTTGTCAACAAAACCATTTTCCTGCATATTTTCTACAAAACGTGTTACAAAGTTCCCTGCAGCGTGGCCCAGGCAGTCCTGTACCACCAGCAGCGATGGAGACCACACGTTCTTGGTGTGACCTTGGAAGACACATCACACCTGGTTGAACACCTTTGGTTCATTTTACATAGCACCAAGCATATAAAAATACTAGAATCGTGTCATTTCTTGTCCGATCTACTGCAGTTTCTGTTAACTGGCTTCCCTAGAAGATGCAGAAGCAAGCACCTTTGTCCAGTAACTTCTGAGACAGCCTTTGCCTCTCTCTGCTTGGTAAGGGTCATGGCAAGAACTTCCACCCAACGACCAGACCAGCGGGATCTCACAGGGTGCTGCTGGAAGGTGGCGGGCGGTAAGGCGATGCCCCAACAGCTCAGGAGATTTCCCCGTGAGGATCAGTTAAAAGGCACCTCTGTAATTTGGTCTGTACGCTGGGATTACAAATCAACCGAAGAGCTGGGGTACACCGATTTCAACGCATCGCCAGCTTAGCTGTGATTCTGACCGCACGAGCAAGCAAAGACTCAATGCAATTAAGGTCTCTGTGTTTACAGGAAGAAAAGATAATCCCTTCAAGTGGTGATGTTCCCTTTCCTCTCCTGATTTTGCAGAAACTGTTGTGGTCCTAATGCTCTGCTTCGCTTTGACAAATCCTAATCTTTTCTTAATTAAGAGAGATATTTATCACACTCATATGGACTTAACTGGGTTGTTTTTTTTTTTTTCTTATAAAGCTTCCAAGTTGTATTTTTATGGAACCAAAATATTTTACTTTTACAGAGCTATACAGTTATCAGCTGTCTTGTAAAAGGAATAATTAATGAAATTAAGCAGCATTAGAAGAGGAAATGCCTTTCCATAGGAGAGGAAATACTTTTCTCACCCAGCATGTAGTCACTTCTCTCCTTACTCCATCAGGCAAACGACGGAGTCCTGGACACAGCACACCTTGGAGGGGATTTGGAGCACCCGTTTCAGCATGATTTGTTAAACCTGGATTTGCATCTGCTCCGCCTTGTCCTGGCTACACAGCTGTCCGACATTGCAGACCATCCCCTGCACTTAATTTCCATCTTGCCAACCCCACATTTTCAGGCAGGCCAGTTCCCACCTGTCAGACATCTACATAAAGAGCCCTAAGTTTAACGGCAATATAGTTCTAGGTTTAGTGCACACCAAGAAAAACACCCAGGAAGATTTACATGGATAATGTGACTGTATTTATTAATCCCCATGACACCTTAATTCCACATCTGTAAATGCTGTGTTGTGAAGATCTCTACAGTGCAAGCAGATTGCTTTAGAGGGGAAAAGATTATCGGTGCATTTTATATTTGCTGTACAAATTGAACAAATGTATAATTCAGGAAATGAAAATATCAGTAATTCTGCTATATGGGTGTTGAGAAAAATAACTTTACAGAAGTTCCTGGAGAAAAGCAAGGGCATTTGAACAGGAGACTCCATCCACCATATTAGAACCCAGTTCCAGCAATACATTTCTGGCAAGTATTCAAAGCCAAGCGTGAAGGTGTGCAGTCATCAACCACAGAAGCGTTTCAGTTGCAGTAGTTTGCAACGCAGCGCTGGACTGTGGCTTTACTACTGATCCCAAGCATCGTGCAGGCATCCTGCCCCAGACAAACTAGCGTAACTTTTGGAATTCTGTTTCAAATCAGTAATGTTGTCTTGAAGCAAGACTGTAATTTTCTTTTTTTTTTAAATCATGTTTTAGTGTTTCCCAATGCGTGAAGAACAAAAGACCCACCAGCTGTTCAGAAAACAAAATTGCATTTATTGTAAAGTTCCTGAAACAGTAAATACTTTATCAGAAGTACAATGAACGGGCACTATTTCTTTAAAATGCTGAACTATCTTCCAGGAACAGCACCTGGAATATTCAAGAGAGGTCTCAAGCCAGGGAATAACTCGGTGCAAGGCCCACCTTCCCCCTGGTCCCCTGCCAGTACCACCAGCGGAGAAGGGGCAGTTAGTTTTTATTTGCATTTCCCACCTAACAGCTCTCAAGCTTCACCTGGTAGATCGCAAGCTGGAATTTCCCCTTTTGTATTTACGGATCCTCAATTGAAAAGTGTAACAAATGAGACGGATCGCAATGCAAATGCAGCTTTGGACAATTAAAGGCTTATTTTATAGAACTTTTAGTTTAATGACTATAAAATCTATAGCCTCTCACTTAAAGAGGTGAAAGTGGTAACAAGAAGAGACAAGGTGTTGCTTTCGACTCCATGTTCGCTGTTTATTCCAACAGCTGCAACGCAGGCATAGGCCCCCACCTATAGATACAGCTCATGTCTCTTACATCCCAACCACAGAAATAACAGCTCTCCAGCCACTTGTAAGAACACCCCCACTTCTGTTCCTCTCGGCCTCCCGCATTCAAGCAAACAGCAGCCCCGCTCCCGGCGTGACGAAGGCAGCCAGGATGTGCCCAGGCTGGACAGCGGGGACAAAGCGAGCAGAGCGCGTTACCCACAGGGTCCAAGGAGTCGATTCCTTCTCCGCAACCACCCCTCCTTCCCCACAAACACTGTAAGGCATAAGCAGCTTTTTTTCAGATGAACTGTGTTTGTACACCCAAGTCCTCCGTATTCACGGAGCTGCAGAAAACCAGCTCTTCTTCACAGCGAGTGATTTGTTCCCAGTCCTAATGTGTCACTTCACCAGAAACTAAGCCTCTCCAGAACATCAACCTCAATAGTCCCTTTCTGCAGCACAGGGTAATACCACCTCGTTTACAGCTTTACCCACACTTACAGGGGAACAGAAATAGCTTCAAGCATGTGGGACTGGCTGATAGTCCCACAGTTAAACCTTGTAGAAGTTTTTTCCTATTACAGGGCCAATCTAAGATGCCTTGTTTATAACTTACACTATTAAACTTTCATAACTTTATACAAATTCTTAATGATGTTAAAAAACACTGTACAAAATCACCTTAAGGCACAAAAAGTTAAACAGAAATGCAGCCCACTGGAAATCTCAAAGCAGCCAATTCAAGAGAAGCTGGCCTTGTAGTAAGTACATAGTTCATTTATACAGGTTAAGGTTCGCTGTCATACATTAAACCCAGTAAATACAGGACAAAACTATGCTGCTCAGCATCTGCTCTTTTTCATTAGTCCCAGGCCCCATCTCAGACGTTATCAGTGGTTACAAATCGGAACTGAAACAGGTATACGTCCCTCCAATGATTTGCTATGAGCAACCACGAGCTGTTACACATTTAGGTAGGCAGATACGGCAACGTTGTTTTGTAAGGGTGGGACGTGAGCATGCTCCAACCTCAGCGCTTTGCTCCACTTTGTCAAAGCAAGGAAGTATGGATGTGGAAAAAAAAAAAAAAAAAGAAGTCAAAATGGCAGTGACAGATGCTGGGAAAAACTGTAATCTTGCAGAAAAGAATTTTGCAAGTTAATGTCGCCTCACCCAAGCGAATTGGGCCAGTCAGTGACTGGACAGTAAAAGAGAGATGCCCGTGAGGAGTCCTGTCGTGCCTACAGAGCCCGACACAGATCAGCATCGTCAATAGAGCCAGCAAACATGCAGTAACGCAGCTACCATCCACCTCCAGAATCACCCGGATAAACACAACTACTCTGTTGGCTCAAAGATCCTTGTTTAACCCCTACTAACGGCCAGCCAGAGCTACCCAAGAAAATCTTGCCTGTAGCTTCTCCAGAGGAGTCTGCAGGTTACCGTCTACAGGAGGGGAAAAAACCCAGCAAATGAGTCATTTCTCTCTGCATTACAATATAAAAACACATCCAAACTCCATTATGAGTACTAGCGGATGTTTTCATACATGAAGGTCTTCAAGGAGTGAGAAGCTGCCCTGCCTACATGAATACTCAATATGTAATTCCATAGAGGAAGGAGCCTGATAGAATGGTTTAACTGAGGTGCAAGTTTACTGATGTGGCTTCAAGTGAAGGCAACCAGGCTGCTGGCAACAAAGCCTGATGGAACAGTGCTGATTGCCCCACTCAGTCTCACGCTGGTTTTGGTCCAGTTTTCCTCTTTACTAGCACTTTTTCTCCCACCCTTACAGCATCGCTAACCAGATCGCCCCAGTACTGCTTGTGTTTGTTAAAGCCATTTATTTGTTGTGTGAAAGAGGAACTGTAATATTAGCACAGAACACTGAACTGTTTGCTACAGAGAGTAAGAACATTCTCGGTACATTTGAAATTAGGAAAGTCTGTAGCAACATGGAAAAAAGGAAAAACTAGCTTAAGAGTTTCTACTCGTTGTTTCATAGCAAAAAAAACTTCTGTCAGGGTTTATATTATAAAGGAACAGCATAAGGAAACCAAATAAATAGTTGAATAGTTAACAGTACGCAATATAATAGTACTAAACTTCAATTACATAAAAATTAAACTTTGGAACAGCATCAATATGAAAATTTTCTTAGAAAACTAGGACTCAGTCTGAGATCCTCAGACCTGTTCATTGCAAAAACCAGTCAATTCTGATGCTCCGTTGGTCCCAGCTCTGTCCTCTGCGGGACCGTGTCCACCAAGAACTACGACCCCTCCGTACAGGCCCCTAATCCCACTCTGCCCCATCATACACATGCTGTTTTTCCAAGTTTCTAAGAGAGAGTGAGCGGGAAGCACGAGGTATGAGTTGTGCTTCATTGTTTCAGAGGAAGCGGTATCTTCTTCCTCATCTGATAGCTATACTGAACAAGCTTATGCAATTTAGCCTAAGGATGCTTCTTTCTTCCTTAAAGCAGCAGTTAGAGGAACAGAAAGATAGCAGAAATGACCTCATGCTCCCAGTAAAACCCCAGCCGGGTTCTGGGGGAGGTGGAATCAAGGGCTGATTTATCATTAGTTGGACAAACTGTCTGACCTAACATGAATTCAGTGGAGAGAACTCCAATAACTTCAGCAGAGCTACATCAGACCCTCTGTCATTCTTTTTTCCTCTCATCAACACCATGCAGTCACCGAGCTGGATTCCATTAGCACATCTAATGGAAGGGAGCAATCTCTCCTGGCTCTCAAGAGTGACTGACTTCAGCAAATTTATCACCCTCTGGAGCAGGCTTTTACTGTGCTCCCAAATAAAGAAGTATCACCACTGTGATCTGGAATCGTTCCCCAATACAGATTTCTTTACCTGTGGGACATGTGCATCTCTTCCTAGACAAGCGCAGCTCACTGCTTTGCTATACGCCGGATGAGTCTGGGTCTTTGACTTGATGTAAACAAAGAAATATATACACAGTATAACTTTGAAATCTGTTGTCAAATCAGTTGATCAAATTCTCTCCTCATACAATTTTTGGATTAGTACTTAATTCCACTGAAGTCAGGAGTGCTAAAAGGTGTTTGAGAAAAATCCAGCATTACATATTTGCATTAAATGCCAAAACATATCCTAAAATATTCCTCTTGACATCTGTCACTGAAACACTTCCAATGTCAGCTTCTCCAGAACAAAATTAACAAAAACTCTGCTATCAAGCAACAAAAAAACAGAGATAAAAATTAAACAAAAATAAGCTTTTTATCTTTGTTAAATTCCTGTCAGCCACTTGAAATCTTGTTTATCTGTTCCATGAAATTAAAAACTTGGCACATTTTCCTTGGATGCCACTTAGCAACATTTTCTTTTATCTAGAACATCTATCGCGTATCAGAAATTCACTTGGCTAGGATATTTTTGTTTAGTAGAAAACACTGCCTTCCAGTTACAGCTATGAAGCTCCACACAGTTCAGTAAATGAATTCTCCTGGTATTTCTTGCAGTAATGGTTCCTCAAATTTAAATCGTTTGGAAATGGCTTTCTGCTCAGTTACTTTTTCTTTTTCTGACTGCCTACATTGTCCCAGCGTATATGAAGCCACTACAATTAGTTCTTCTGTCACTATTGAGTCTTCCTCTTCAGCCTTCTCGGCATCTACGGATTTTTCAGAGGGAGAATCTGGATCTTTCTGGGCAATATCAGTGTTCTCCCCTCCTGTACTCTTATTCCAGGCCCTGCAAGCAGGATTATCGCTTTGTTCCAACCATGGATGTTGAAGACATTCTTCAGCAGTTGCCCGGTCCCTGCAGAGGAAGGAAAGTGTTAAAATAAATGTCCAAACAAATTTGAAATCCAGTACTTTGCAGAAGAGATCCATACAAATTATTCCAAGGATATGACTGCATTAAAGACAGACTAATAGAACTTAAAAAAAAAAAGCACAGACAGCTATCTTTTACCAAAAAAGACCAACAGCAGCCCAAGGAGATGAACTGCTAACATTTAAAATAAAGGAGCTCATAGATCCTTAAATATCCGTTTATGCTCCCCTGTTGCTGATCAACTTCCAAAATTTGTACAGATTTTTTTTTCTATATAGGAAAATTATCCAATCCTTATATTTCTTAAGTAGTCCCATGAACAAGCAGTAGGCAATTTCAATAGTCAACATGCCCCATGAAACACTGGTGAAGTTCCACAGAAAACCCCTCTTCTGTTTTGAGACCTGGAATTTCCAATTTGCTGTCCACTGAGAAAAGCGTACTAACGAACCAGAAAAGAGTAAGGTACTCTACCAACTCAAAAATAAAGGGCTCAAAGCGCAGTTCATTTAAAAGACATCAGCAAAGTACCTGCAAGGAAAGTCAGTATACTGTACCACATGCTACAACGCACATACTGTTTTCTGAAATGAGTTTGAGTTTTAATTACTAATACTTCGACACATTCAGAATGTGCAAGTTTGGAGGGAAATGGAGGAAATCTTTTTTCATATACATGAAAGGTATCAGCACAATGAAATATGAATAATCAAGGTTCTCTTATACTTTAAAAATGAAAATACCATCACTTGCTACATTTAAGATGAATCCAGTCTGACATATTAACATATACAATTGTGTATTTTACTTACTCGGGTTTCTTAACCAGCAGAGTTTTGATGAAATCCACAGCAGACTCTGATATGAGGTCAAAGTCTTCTCCAGAGTAACTCACATTCATTTGAGATATATTTAAGAACGTTTCTTGTTTATCATCTCCCAAGAAAGGTGATATCCCTGTTAGCATAACATATGCCAGTACTCCAATGCTCCTAAATTAAGAGTAAAAAAAAAAAGCAGGTTTTTAGTTTTTTGTTGTTGTTTGTTTTAAAAAAACCTTTTCAGTAAAGTAAGTTACAACGAGCACTAAATTTGTTCAACTTACCACATGTCAGTTGCTGTACTGATTGGGTCATAACTCAGAATTTCAGGAGCTATTCAGGGAAAAAAAAAGTTGTTTTTGTCATAAGCAGACATTATATTGTAATTATATAATGCAATAACGGGCACGTGGTAAAATTTAAGATAAGCCATTTGAAGCATGACAGTCTTTTGAAATCAAGATATTTGTATTCAAGTTATTTAAGTGATTACTATCATTCATTAGTTTTAAGTAAAAAAAAAAAAAAAGAACTGTTTTCTTTTTATTCAAAACTCTTTTCTTTTTATTGTCATCTTCAGTAGCCAGGCCAGTCTCCTTTCCAATTAAGGAAGCTGTACACAAATTTCTTATGGATAAATCAGAAATATCCAACATTCCATATTCCATCACTGAAACCCATACCCATAAAGATACACCATGCAATTTAAAGATATTTTCAAGTTCATTTTCAAGGTCTAGAATGATTAGGTTTTTTAAAAACTAAAATGGATACAAACCTCACCAGGTTGAAATATTACATTCAGAGACTGAATATGTAATTTTGAACTTTTAATCCAAGCAATACTTTTTCTTACTGTTGGTAAGAATCATCTAAAATGTGTACTCATCTTCCACATGAGCACACACTCATCACTCACTAGGACCGGCAAGGCTTGCCAGTTCTACCTTTTACAGCAGTACAACGTCCAAGTAATAACCTCATCTTTCGACGCAGCAACTACACAGCCAGTCCAGCATTCACCACATGGAGGTAGTTTCTCTTTTCACTCCCCAAAAGCCTGGACTGTACATCACTCACTATAGTAACAACTTACCTACGTATTCTGGAGTTCCCATAATTTCTCTTAGTTCCTCACTGCTCTTCATTATTCTGGACAGGCCAAAATCCACTATCTTAATGTCTCCCAGAGGAGACTTACTGGTTAGTAGAATATTTTGGGGCTGAAAAACAAAAGGAGGAGACTTTCAGGATCACCCAAATCTAATGTCTATGACACCATATTGCATAATTATTTTAGATCATAAGCAGCAATAATGCATTCCATGACAAGTGTGATACCCAGGATCATTTATTTATTTATTTCCCCCAAGGTGAACTTGAAGAGACATGTAGGCTAAAAGGAGTGGCAGGATTTTCTGTTTGTAACAGCGGATCAAACATCTACCTTTATGAGCTTAGAACACACACAAAACATATGCCAATAGCCATCATTTAACAATAGTGTCTAAGTACCTCCAACGTTTCTGCCTTTAGTCCTTCATATTACCTTTTTTAACTCCCCTTCCCTCCTTGCTTCCTTCCAATAGATGGTATAAAATTCCTCCTGTTGAAGGGTGTCCAAAAACACCCAATCCTTTTAAAAAACACATAAAACTATTTTGACTACACCTGTTTAAAGAAAGTCTGTTGCAACCGACCTCAATCTTGTTCAAAGTACAAACAATTGTATTACAGAACACTAACTGAAGAACAGTTTAAAAAAAATACAGCAGCCTGAAAAACAGGTTTTTAAGAGCATCACCTTTGGATAAACTTGTTTGCTCTGACGTCACTAGATCTTGGCTGTCATCCTTCAAAGCAGCTTTGCGGTCATTAAGAAGTTCCTTACCATCTATTTTAAATGCTAGCTCAAAAAAAAATAATCTGAAAACTAACTTTAGACAACAGGTCTTAGAAATTTCTTTGCAACTGAGCCATATCCTTGCCAAAAACCAGAAGTGTGACCCTCCCTGCCCCCAGGCCAATGATCACATCGGCTTCTATCATTAATTTCCCCAAATGGTAACACTGACAGTTGACACTGCGTTCATGCCTCTGGTGAGCACAAGTTCCATCAAAGTGAAGAAGCCTTTAGTTATTGGGAACCTGGATCATCTTGCATCAGGGGTGGTTCAAAAAGGGAGGATGGCAAAAGAGTAAGAACACCAAAGCAACCCCTGACTGATAATCCAACTGGATTAACACCAACATTTGTACTTTTTCCCCTCATCACCGAGCTGTTCTCTCCTCATCCCCCAGTCAATACGAAGGCATGCTTTCACATGAATAGCCTTGCTTTTGAACACAGAAATAAAGCTGTGCAAGAACATTTTAAAAACCTTGGGCCAGCTCTCCTTTGCTGCAAGACCTAAATATAGTCAAGTTCTTTCACTCCTGCAAAGTTAAACCATGGTGTTTCAAACTAACTCCATGATGTCAATCTATTTTCTGTTTGTAAATCCATGTATTAAGAACAGCTCTTTTTTTTTTTTTTTTTTTGCTTACAGACTGGGATCTGGTGGCCATACAAAGGCTTTTGGAGTTGCGCATTACCATATGCTTATAGTTCACATTTGTTATTTTGTATTTGTATTAGAAAAGCAAACACACAAAAAAGCTGACCATGCCTCCCTAATTAGCCTCTCAGATGTTCTTCCCAGTGGGAAATTTAGTTACTTTCTGAAGAGGCAAATAGAAAGCATGAGAAAGCCATTTGTTCTCTATATTTAAATGAGGAAAAGTTTTTAATGAAATTGTTTCGTGAAACCCTTAAGCCTTGTATTATAATATTTTAGCAGATAATGTAGTTGCCAGAAGTTTTTATTGTCTTTTTTTGAAAACAATCTTATTACTCAAAGCACACCTATGCAGAACCACCCTCCGTCTACAGTCTGAATTGAGTCATAACTCTAAATCAATTCATAATGAAATACCAGTTGTTTTCTCCTTTTGAGGAATCATTATGGGGTTCATGAAGTGACAGTCTAAACACCACCATGAAACCTTAAAGCAGCCGTAGCTTTGAACTTAGCATAATTTTCAGCTTGACACAATTACTCTAAAACTTTAAGAAAGGGAAGATCATTTTCCCACATCTGTAATGCTGTTTCTCTTTTGTTTTCCCTCTGCTATAATACATCCAGGTTTGCCTAATGGTGATGAACCCTCAAAGGCAGGAGAGACGTAGGCCAGAGGCTCTCCTGGTTGCCATTCTAAAAAGGGCCTTTCACTCCTACCATCAAGCAGTAACGAAATGGCTGATGAAAACCGTCAAGTGGCAACATCTAAAAACCTCCCCCTCTACTGCAGTAACGTGTAAATGTTCCAATTTAGATCCTCTTCTGCTGCGCTCCGAACAAAAACAGAAGAATAAAAAAATCTTTGGCTAAATGGACAATCTGAATGGATGTACTTTACTACAAGCTTGGTATGTGCACAGGAACCATGTGATGTGGCCACACGAGTCTAGCCCAATGCCATGGCTAGCACAGCGAGAAACAGGGACCTTGGGAAAGGTTATAAAAACAAGATAAGCAGTTGTCTTTCCCAGGCATAATGTCAACAGCCACAACCTTGGGCTTTAGGAATTTGATAGCTTGGTTATACCTCTATCATCGCGTTAAGAGTAATAGCAGTGAAAAGCATCATGTATCATTGCAAATATTAACCAGTCTTACATTTTTCACTTAAATTGGACTACACTACTGTCACACGGAGACCATCGCTTTCTTGACACTACGAAGGTCAGTGCAAAGGCCAAACTAAGGCAATGTATACAAAGATCTGGTTTCATCTGGAAACTTATTGCAATTTGTGCAACTTACAGAGTAAGTGTACTTAGTAAAACAGGATACCCTTCAACCTTGCCAGCTGGTTTTGGAATCTTGTAAACTGACTACATAATGGCAAAATCCATACATTGCAAGTTTGCCATTATTCCAGAAGTTTCTATGAGCCTCTGGCCCTAGTATTTCTCGTATCTTCGGTTGGTTTCAAGAAGAGTATGACTAAGGACACACAATAAAGGTCATGTTTTTAAACTATGCCTCACCTTAACCTGCAACATTAATGAAGTTAGGTATCCAATTTTATAATATTGTAAAAAATAAAATCAGATCCCTAGAAGAAGAGGCAGGAATTATCCAAGGAATAACAGGCAGAAACAGGAAAGGGAGACAGGAGTTGGGATTCCCCAGCTATGAGGTGTTTAAAGATACTAAACTAAGCTGATCAGTCTGCCCTAAAAAAAGTTGAAGGACTCCCCTATCTTTAAGCAATTGAAATGTAAAAGCAGAGGTTGCTTGGGGGTTGGGGTTTTTTTTGGTCAATGTGTACAATTGGAAAAAATGCAACACTCCCTAAAAGAGTAGGCATATTAGACTGGCATCACACTTTATTCCCCAAAATAAGCAATGCAAGTGCCATAAATTGAGAAATAAGGCTATAATCAAAATAGGTTCTGTAGAACCTGGATACTCTATACCTGCCTATTAACAAACAGCTTTGCTCTAATTGCTGTAAGGGTTTGAACTCCAGATGAAACTGTTCTTTTGCCTTGAAAAACTGGTATTTTAATTTTTAACTCTTTTCTTAGTTTCCTGAGTGTTCCTTTAGACAAGGAATACTACATTTCTATTAATACTACACTTCTGTGTAATAAACATTCCGCCTTAATCCACCTGGAAAATTCAGTTGAGAAAATTAACCTGTAATGTTCTTATAACAGGCAACTTCTTTTGTAACTGCATTAGTTTGCTTTCTGAGTATCGCTGTAAAATGACACCCAAACCAATTCCAAATTATGATTTTGCTCGCTGTCCTCACTGAACACATCATCTTGAAAACAATACAGGAGAAGGAATGGAAAAGTTGTCTGTTGGATAACCACAGTAATATATACTATAGGAGAGCGCTGCTTGGAGCAGTAGTTCTCCCGGACCCCAGGGCTGTGTAAGGGTCCTTACCCATCTCAGCTGTAGACAAGAGGCAGCAAGTTCTTCCTCAACCCCCACGCCTTTTTAAATTCTCCTCCATTCCCAACTACTTCAAGCTTTTACCAAACACCAGTTCAAGACCAAGTCAAACAGCAAATGAAAACACAGAGAAAGGAGTCTTTGGAGCTTTTAGGCACCATTAAGAGGAGATGAAAGACTCCTGACTACAATCTATGCACACCCAGCAAATTAAATAGCATCAACACAATACTGTCAAGTGATACTTAATTTGCACTCAGTAGCATTATATTTGCTCTTTCTCCAAGTCAAAACTGGATTATATGACTATTTTGCTATTAAAAACAAGCCACATTTCAACCATCTTTCAGGAGACCGGTGCTTTTGGAAAAAAGCAATCAAGTGGCAATCTTGCTAAGCCACATCAAAATACCCCATTTTTTTCTTCAGCATTTAGTCTCATAGGAGAAATCTTGCATCTATTAAGGGTGCAGACAGAAGCTAAAGCAAACTAGCTGTCAGTGTCATAGATCTGGTTGATTAGATTTATAATATAAAACTACACCAACAAGCTGACAATCACATGCTGACAACCATTTTGACTTATTCTTCTGGGCAGAGCGCCTGGATTTTTTTGAAGGTGCAACATATTGACAATTGGATGGACCTTTCCAAAGGTATTTGTAGCAGACAAATGAAAGGGAAACCTTTAGAGACCCAAAGGTGAAACTATAGTACAAGGAAAATATTTTAGCAAGAATTTGTGAATTTTTATCTCTGCAAACACATTGCCTAACAGCAGCGCACTTTGCACAAGTCTTCCAAATGTCACCACAAACCCAAGTACTTAGTAAATTCCATGGTGCTGTAAGCCACTAGGTAAACTATAGCACAAGGAAAATAATTTAGCAAGAATTTGTGAACTTTTTTATCTCTGCAAACACATTGCATAACAGCAGCGCACTTTGCTCAAGTCTTCCAAATGTCACCACAAACCCAAGTACTTAGTAAATTCCATGGTGCTGTAAGCCACTAGGTAAAGCAGTGGTATGAGCCATACTATACAGCAGAAAATAGTTTGAGGCCAGTGGGTTAATAAACATGCAGCCAAAACTAGCACCCAACTTCAATTTTTGAGTTCCTTGAAAAATGGGTCTTTTTTAAAAGTCTTGCAAGGCATGTGGGTCAATCAATCTTTGCAAGTCATGGGTTTTAATCCTACAGTTTCCATCATTTTTATTTGCCAATATTCTGAAGACTTCCCTAAACCTTATTTTGCAAAAGACCAACAGTCTTATGTATCATGAAAGTAATCACACTGCAATTGGGACTCTTATTATGATCCACTTTTCAAAACCACATTGCAGTAACATACAAATATATTGAACTCAAACACCAGACAATTTGCTCTGCTAATTAACTTTTACAAGCCAGGAAAGCAATGCTGGATCTTTCACTGAGAACTGGATATGCTCAATTTTATAACGTAAGTTTTCTGATCAGTTGGAAAGTTTTTAAGTAAGTTTTTTCTGAACTTTGAAAAAGCTACCTGTCCACAAGCTGTAATCAACACCCCAGTCTACTTTTGCCATCAAGTACTGTAGTCAAATAAAGCACAACGCATTTCTGATTACAGATACCCAGCTGACAGTGGTAAGGAACACCGCAGCTCTAACTACAAATATGTATCAGTATATACCGTCCACAAAAGACATATTTTAATTTTACACACTTAGCTTCAAGGAAATTCAATGGCCAACCATAGTAGAGACACTGACTATTTGTATGAGTGTACTGGAACTTTAAGGAATTTTAACTGCTCATTTTTGGTCCTTCTGAACACTTATTCTCACATCACTTGCTAAAAATTTTCCATTAATTATTTTAGTACAATTATTAATATTCTACACGTATGACTAAATCAACAGGCTACAGAAAGTTTTAAAGGATTCCAGAGATAATTTGAATAAATGGTTGGAAAACCAGGCAGGTGACATATTTGTGTGCAAATATTACTCATCGTCTGCTTTAGCTGATGAATAGTTCATGATGTGCTAGGTTAATATATTAAGTATGTACAGCTTGATACTGGAATCTACTGGTAGCTTTGTAATACTGCCAAAATGCAATTAAGTATACATAAGGATCTCGGCAACAGAACAAACACGGAGCAGCTTACTATATACTTAGTAAATATGAGAATTGGACATGTAAAAAGAATTTGAAAATTTTAATGAAAGATACTTTTTATACTGCCTTGTTCAGTAATAAAATAGTTCAACGTCAAAATGAGATAAAATCGCATCTTCTGTATGACTGTATGGATGGAAGCTAACAAAAATTAACTGCAGCTTGCTGCCAATGGGAGAGGATAGTTTTCTGAATCCCTGTTACAACTCCGTTCTTAACCATAAGCAATACTTTGGATTTTGTATGATAGCAACTGTACTTTTATCTTGATTTGGGTCAAAACTATTTTTCAGTAGGAAAAAAATATTCACTCCAGTAAATCATGATAATTTATATACCAATAGGGTGTTGGCCAACTGTTTGGCAGTAAATTATAAACATTTAAATGAAGTTTTACAGTAATTTAAAAAAAATAGTGAAGTGTTATAAGTGTATTTAGCATATTATTACACTGTTTACCAGTGCTGTATGAACACTTCATTCTGAAACATTATACTTTATACTACCAGTGTCTCTGCCATCCTTCTGCTTCATTAAAACTCAAGTCAATACAAAAAAAATAAACCTATTTTTCAATAGCCATATAACACCCAGACATTTTTACTGCACTTTAAAAATGAGTCTGGTCTTACCCAAAGCACTCATTCGCAATTTAAGGTGCAACACAAATCCACTTTTGAATTCATTACATTTCACTTAATCATAGAAACTCCCCAAAAGGCTTGCAACCCCGGTGCCTACTGCGTCCCAAAGGTTGAATTTTATTTTTCGAGGAATAACGAGATAAAAATAGTGTTAATTACAAGTTAGCATTTGTATGACATATGACCAGCAAGAAAGCCAGCAGATAAGAAATTAATGAGAAAAATAAGCAACAATCTTACCTTTAAGTCAAGATGAACCACGTTGTTTCTGTGCAAGAACGAAACTCCTTCCAAGATCTGCTTCATAAGTCGTTTAACATCTTTTTCTTTGAAGGCTTCCTCTCTTTCGGCCACACACTGGTCAAAGATTTCACCTCCAGCAGCACTGTGGAACGATATGAATTTTATTACTTCAAAGACTAAATTACAGCACCTATTTTATTTAGCGTAAGCAAGATGAGCAGGCGGTAGCACCCAATAGTGATATTTGCAGTTACTAAACAATTGGCAAGCTTTTACAGCCTAGGAAGATTTCTCTGCGGTACGGCAGCTTTGGATAGAAGCAAAGATCTTAGTCATTTAGGTTAGAGAATATGAATACTACAGAAATTTTGAGGACTACTTTGGAAACAGTACTGACTATGCTGTAAGATGAATGCCACATTTGTTTCAGGGCAGTGTTTACATAAAATATGTGCCTTTTGCCATTCCTATGAAACTACATGGAAATCTGGCCAAGGTAAGCCTTGGTAAACACAAAGAAAACCAGCCCCACCCCCAATCCTCCTCAAAACACTTTGCACATACTCAAAAGACTAAATGTCAAGTCTATAATTGACTCGCTTGTGAAGTCGCTGGTATACAGGGATGCATTAAGTTTCTAAATGGCTTTCATCTAAAAATACTTTTGAAAATTTTAGCTCTCAGCTTGCTTCCTCATCTTTTGTTTATATATGTTTAAATAAATAACAAAGTAACAAAACCCATAAAAATAACTAGAGCTGAATGAACACATTTTCAAAGTACTCTGAAGCCACACGCAGTACCGTCTCTGTACAGCAATGACTCCAGAGAACCAGAATTGTTTTACAACATAACCATGTAGTATCAAAAGTAAAATAAGCAGAGCAGAGGCTCCACCTTCAAACAAGAATGGGCATAAGAACATTAGAATGGGGCCATTTTGCATATGGCTCGTTGAATTAATACTACGAAATCAACACTTTGTTCTGCATGAAATTCTATAATCATCCCGTAGTGAAAGATGGTGAAACCCCTGAGGACAGCATCTTCTCCAGTTACCCCAAACTGTGACATGCCAAACAAGACGTTGCACAAGCTTGATTCTTTATTGATGCATAACCATCTATTCTGCCTTTGCTCGCTCTTTTCTAATAAATTATAGCACCTAGGCAATCCAGAAGACAGAGAGGCTTATTCAACATGAATGTAACAGGAAAATGAGAGTTCTACAAAAAACAGTGCACTTGGATTATGTACCCCCAGAAAAAGAACAATTAAATATACTCAAATTTTCATCTTGCCTATACCAACTTTGCTGCTACAGTCCTAGTACCTTAAAATGCTTCATGGTTTACAAAAGAAGTTTCTTGCCTTCCCAGATATTTTCATTATTGTCATTTAAAATTCTCCCTGCAGATTGTCTTACAGGAAAAAAGAATTTAAAAGAGGGCTACATCTTCACTTTTTCTAAAGAGCTTTATATTTCTGTTCTATATGCTGGCTAACTGGTACAGCAGCACAATTTGATTTATTAAACTAAGATTTTCTTTTAAAAAAGTCCATTAAATAATTATTTTTCTTCATCCTTATCAAAGATGATAGAGCTTAAGAATAAAGTGGAGTTTTCAAAGGAGTATTAATACTTTAATTCCTCTGGAAAAATTGCATACGCCTGACGCTATCACATCTTTCTTCACCACATTTTTCTTTAATGCCAGGAAAAAGTGAATAATTTTTCAGCTTTGAAAAGGATTCAAATATTAATGACATTTTTAAAATGGACACAAGCTACTGTATTCTAATATCCTAAACCAAATTCCTTTAAAAAGCAACATCAATTGGATCTTCAAGATAGCAACAGAAAAACATCTACTGTAATCAATAAATTAAACTTTCTACTTTAAGAATGCCATAATATGTCACTCAGAAGAATGATTTAATTCCTTGTAGCAGTGAATAATGCACATACAGTGATAAGATCTGCTACCAAAATTACTAACACAAGGGGTTTTTCAGCAACATCCCTGGGATTTTGCTGGTATAGCTCTGCCACTTAAAATAAGCAAAACAATACTTCTGCTATTTAATTCTGTGAAATAGAATTTATACCTAAAAACTTCTGTTGTCAGCCAGGGATCACACTTTATTTTTACTGGACCCAGCTGAAAAAATCAGCAAAGGAGAGGTCTTATAAAGCCCTGTTTGCTATATGTCTACTTGGTAGATGTCTGTTACAATTAAGTTACACTAACATCGAAGTAGGCACCAAGCTAAGATGTAAGCTACCTAGAATTTTAATAGTACACTTAACGAACTTTGAATTAAATGTGCTCAAAGTCAAGGCAATAAAAGTTGAAGCAGACAACGTCCCATCACTGAAATCGGGATAGCACTACCATACGAGAGTAGAAAACCCTCGATCCAGAAAACTTTTTGTTTAGAAAGGATATTTAAGTATCTCCTAGTACTTCTGAAGATGCCTATGTTCATCAGCATTTTTAAGAGTGAGACAAGCAAACATAGCCCTTACACATAGACACCCACTTCATAACTTAGGAAACATAGCCATTCCTAGCTAACGTAGACAAATACACTTAGCTTTACAAGAAAGTTTCACATGGAAAGCTGGTTTCACATGCAATGTTTAATTTTTTTGATCAACTTTGCTATTTAGGATGCAGATAGAACAACTTCCAGACAATTCATTCTATCCAAGAACTACCACATTCAAACAAGTAACCAGCAATCCTTTACAAGAACATTGTAAATTCGTTACTGCAAGACTGTTTTGGGTGTTGTTGCTGGGGAGTAAGTTTGTTTTGATTCCCTTAAGTGAAGTCAGCTAGCTGTGAGCCAACTCAGTCACAAGTGGTTCAAAGTACAATGTCAAAATGAGCTCCAAAAAGATTCCTGCACACCTATGCCAATTTTGCCAAGCTCCTTAACAATACTTTCAACTCAGTTATTTTGTATTCCTTAGCTAGAGGTTGGGGGGTGGGGAACAAAAAATAAAAACACAGAAGGGATTAAAATACCTGCTAGGAAAGTATTATGGGCATATCATTGCTATGATTTCTGAATACATGCAGACCAGTTCTCTGGTGTTTATAATATTTACCCATTTTTCCTCTAAGAACATATTTTCCATTAAGCTGTAGTTTTTCAAATGGTCATTATGAAATAACAACTTTGCAAACCACTGGACACCCCCACCCACCTCCACAGAAAATGCTCCTAGGGAATAAAAGCAAAGAATTGTCCTTAGGACAAAGAAGTCTTTAGGAAAGCAAGCCATCTTAATCTGAAAAAAAAAGGATAAGGAAATATTTAAGAGCACAACATTTTGAAATCCACTGTTACTTAGAAGGCATTATTTCTCTAGCACGCACTCCCTTAGCTAGGTGTACGAAAAAATGCAAGACAAGAATTCTTTCCAAACTGAAAAGCTACAGCAACCACAGTTCTTTAGCTATTTTAATTTGTTTATGAAAGTACTGTTGTGCTATTAACTTCTCTATAGTTTCGAGTGAAATCCAACTGCTCATCATCAATGAAAAGCATGCTAACATTTTGTTACCGCTTATCAGCGTGAATGAGTTAAAAGTAACTTGGAAGCCTGGACCATTAATCTTTGTTACAATTATGTTGACTTTAAATTCAACGGAGACTGCTTATCTTTTTTAAAACATATCTTAACAATGCACTATATGGAATTCAGCAGCCTACTTCTTTCAAGTTCACTTGAAATACACTAACAGTCATTTAGCATATCATTAGAAAAAGATTGGACAAATCTATTTCAGTGCATCTGAAAAAGATAAACATTCTCCCAGCTTTAATGGATCCAACATTAAGATAGTCTTCTGAAACTCAGAAGTACAAATCCTCAGAGTACAGATACGTAGACAACAAGTTCCTAGAGTACACTTGATTTCAACTGTGGAGTGAGACCATACACAGTCTGCAAGGGCCAAAACTTTACTTCCTCAATCTTAGCTCTGTCAAAAGCCTTTCTTGAAAGGTTATCTTTGGAAGATAAATGGAAACTCATCAGCTTTCTGTACACAGAGCTTATACCAGAAGATCACCACACCAAGGTGGTTGTAACACTATCAGCAAAGGTTCACATCCACTACCACTGACAGTCATACTCCCCTTTTCCTGGGCTAGGCATACCATCAGATGGTAAGTAGGCAAGTGAATTTACTGAGTTGTTTTCCAGTGTAAGGCTACCATAACATACCGTGTCCCAAAAGCCCGAGAAAAACTGTAACACTATATCTGATGAGAGGACATCTGGAAAGAGAAGCATCCAAATGCATTACGTTGTAGATACTGTTAAGTTCTTGGTTCTCAGACAAATGTGGGTTTTTTTTTCCCCTTAACCTTTCCATTCAGGCAGCCCAAGAACTGAATGAAACACAAACAAAAGGTAACTAACACCATTTGAGGTTTCCCCCTAAAACTTTTTGAAGACCGCCAGTCTTGATTTGAGGCTGTCATCTAGAACAACTTTGCTAATTACTCTGATAGACAAGATGCAAACATTGGAGCAGCACAGTTATTTGATTACCGTGGTTTTGCTTCAAGTTCTATCTGTTGCACCCCATGCCAAATGAACTGTTTCCTGCCAGCAGATTTTTACTTTAACCAGTCACACCTCCAGTAAGTAGGTCAGTAACTAACGTCCAAATAACTACAGGTGAAAAAAGCGCTTCATCCAGCATAACAAATAAACCCTGACTATGTCTTCAAGATGATAAAGACAATTTTTTCTTTTTTAAAGCAAGCATAAAAAAAAAGTCTACACTATTTACAGAAGACCCTCACAGGTAATTACTCAGTTCAGAAGCTCTTCACAAAAAAAAAAAACTTAATAGCTTAGATTTTGAAGTTTCACATACAGGTTTCTGTAATATCTAACTCACTAATATTATCTATCCTTTCCATAGATGTATAAACATACAGTGATGGACACTTACAAAACCCACCAGTTCTCAAGCATCAGATGCCCTGTTGCTCTTTATTTCAAAAGAAATTGGAAAAAGCCAGGTAGGTTGTATACAAATATTGAGCCCCAAAGTTATAAAAGGAAAAAAGCAAATTTTATATCTGATGTGTCAGGATTCCTAGACTATACCTCTATCTTTTTCAGTAGAAGTCAAAAGTTATAAAGGGAAAAAAGCAAATTTTATCTCTGATGTGTCAGGATTCCCAGACTATACCTCTATCTTTTTCAGTAGAAGCCCAGTTTTCTTTTCCATTCATTCCATTTTCACTGAAATATAGAAACCTGACTGACCCACAGATTAATTCCAGACTTTACACACTACCTCTTCAGGCTTACTTACCCCTTCAACTCCTACTTAAAACCTCTGTTTAAGGTCTTGTGACAACAAACAGAAGTCAGAGACTGTTGTCAGGGTGGATGCAGTCACCAATTCACCGTCCTACAGCTGAAGCCAACACTGTAACGCCTCATCGCTTCCCATTGCTTAGCACTTAATATTAACAGTTAGTGGCCAATTTAGTTTTCTGTCAAAAACTGATACTGCTTGAAAGACAACCCTTTGTCTAATACAACATTAGTATTTCCCTTCATGAAGGCAAAGCACTAGGTGTCCCCCTTACCCCTTGTGACAGATTCAACATCAAGACAAGAAACTTTAAAACCTTAGCAGATAAAGTTAGTGGCCAACAATTAAGCATTGGTTTTTCTCCTTCCCAAGGCAAAGATCTGCCACGCAGACCATCAAGCTTAATAGAAACTGAAATGCCCTAGAGAAGCTTGCAGTCTAGATATGTTCTTTAATCCTCGGCATACAGAATGTCAGAAATTTGCTAACATTCATACCTGTTTTGTTGCAACACGTCTCTGGAAGATGCTGACATTAAAGAAGCATCCAGACATATTTGCTGAAGTCAGGGAAAGACTCTTTTTGTAATTTACAACTCTAACACACAGCTATTTATCTGAAACAAGGTATGACTGATGCATATAAAAACAGTAACATTGCTAATTACTGAACAACCTACTTAATACTTTGGATTAAAAATGTTTTGCAATTGTAAGAGAATTTGAGTTCTAAAAGAAAACTAGTAATTTTGCTTTAAAATTATCACAAAACCCATTGCTCATATCAAGCTTTGGAGGCTACTGCTTGTGTTATATTCCTATGGGATCCAGAAATTTAAACTATATTCTAGTTAGATCTGTGCTGCCAGTGTTCAAAGCCTGTATTTATGAGTGTCCAACAGCAGCAGTTAAAACTCCAGAAGCTCTGTCACACCTTTGCATTATAAGAGATACTTGAATATTTCATAAATCATGAATTCCATACGGGTGCAATGAAGTTGAAAAAAACAAACAAACCCGTATTCTAGAAGGAAGTTTGCCTTGGCAGACATGGTCTTATTCCATTCACCGAACTTTAGAGATACAGTTTCTTTTGACTTCTAAACAAGATCAGATTGGGACACAAGATTTCTCACCATTTCTTTTTATCAAGCAAGAAAAGAGCTGTACAAACTAGATTTATCTTAGCAGACAGGTTAAGTCACTTTTGAACTATTGAGCTCCACTGTTCTTCTCCCAATTATTTAAAATCCACAGAGCTTGAACAGGATCTTAGCAGAGCTGAATAGCAACAAGCATTTGGCTGCCTCGTGAAACCTAGATGTCAAATATCTAAGCTGACGGCATATTAGATGAACAGTCACAACAGCTCCAGAAACACTCATCTGGATAAACTCAAGGGGGTAAAGCCACAGGAAAAAAATGTAGAGTCACAAGTTAAATGTGATTTAAAAGAAACTATTCTAGGTCTGAATCCTCCTACTCTTTTTCTTCCCCAAAAAGCTAATGATTCATGGAGCTTTTCACTGTAGATCATCGGGGGTTTTGATAGTTTCTTTTTAACAATGACATTGGTTTCAATACCTTTTTCATAACTAGTAAAAAAACCCAACAGGTTTCACCCCATTTTGTCACTGTCAATGAAATAAACTTCAGTTTTTCAACAGATACTCATTGCTTCTTTCCTGTTCTACAAGTAGAGGGAGTGTACACAGTTCATATTTCACTAAAGATTTAACTACATAAATTTTAGTTCAGCTTTGAAAGATACTGCATAACTGGAGAAATTTATTATAATCTGCAGTAGTTAAAAGACTGCATATAACTTCTTGTAATACTGATTTTCTTAGCAATTCTTTTTGAAGTCAAGCAAGTGTAACAGGCAAGCAATAAAATCTTTTCACATTATTCATATTGATACACAGTATTTTTACATTATTAGTTTTAAGGAAATACTACAGAAGGTTATTTAGGAATTATTACTAGTACTTACTATTCCAGGACTAAAATCATCTCTGTTGCAGTTTCATAAACTTCATGCAAGTTAATGACCCAAAGGTTGCATTGTGCCAGCTCAAGGACTGCAATTTCGTGGATTATTTCCATCCGACAGTCTTGGCCCTTTCTTCTTTTTCTCATGAATTTTGCTGCAAATTCTCTTTCAGTGTCTTTCTGGATACACTTCTTCACCACTGCAAATTTTCCCCTGAAATTAAAAAAGAATTTAAGGTTAAAATTAAGTCCCTTAGTGACAACTTCAGTATTGCCTTTATAAATTAACACTTCAGGAAATTGGAACTAAATCACTATTAATGGATGTATTTTAAAATACATTCTAAATTTAGAAAGATGCCTTGCTGAGTGATAACCCCTACACCTAAAAGTTACGAACATCACAACCTAGAATGTAATTTAGTCTCCATGAAAAAATAAGGAATTAAAACACCCTATCAGTTCAAGGAACCTGGATTTCAAAAATACAGAATAAACAAGCTGCGCTAGCTTGCAAGATTGTTATCCTCAAACCTTTCATTAAAAAAGCTGGCAAAAACAAAGTGTACAAACAGGCAATTTATGCTTTCTACGGCTACCCAGTTATTGCTTTCTAAAGTATCCTACCACATTAAAAGCAAGAGCAGCCAGCAGTCTTATTCAATAACTGCTCAAAATCCCGCTCCATTTGCCATGCAATATCCAGATGCATTTTCAAAGATGGCACTTCGTATTTTCTCCACGATATGTCTCAAAAGGTAACAGCCAGAGCTTTTTTATTGTTTAACAGTTCTCAAAATCCCTTATTCTTGGTCTCACTGTATAAGTAAGGAACATGGATGATTTAAAAAAAAAAAATTAAGCAGTTTGGCCAACATAAAGCTTTCTAATAAATTTTTTTTTGCAACAATGATAATCTGCATACAAACACACACTGAGCAGAACTGAGCAGAGTGCTTAACCCACATTAACGAGCGTCATCTGTGCACAAAGCACAGAGCCGGTGAGTTACACCAAGTCAGCAGACTACCTAAAACCACACGGCAGCACTTACGTCAGAAGACTTCAGCATTTTGGGCTGAAGTGTCTGCTCTGAACTTCCCTGCAACAGAGTCCCATGCCACCTGCTCCACTCAGTTCCATTCATACACCACTGATTTTTAGACTGAAAAGGTCTATTAACTAATATCTGTCATCTAACACAATGATGAATTCTCATACTTTGAAGTACAGTAATTTTTTTTAGTTCTTGCCATACAGGTATAATATAAATAAAAAAGATAGTTTTGATGAACATGTAAAAAAATTTCCATATAAAGCTGCAGGAATAGCTTGGAGATCTTCATTTTGGTTCTTTACATAACTTACTGTAGGGTTGCTGAAACCAAAACACGTCCTCATCTGGTTTGGAATACCATTATATCCCGTTTGCCTCTCCTGTCTCCAAGCTAAAGTTCAGTGTTAACCAATTCAGCTCATGTCAAAGTTTTCACTCTCGCAGCTCCCAACCTGTTGGCAGACTGCCAGCCATGAAACAGAACTGCTAAAAGAAGTTGTGGTCAGCTTGCTTTTAATAGGCATTTGTTTCAAAATTACCCAGTCTAAATGAATCAAGTCAAGTAAGCATCCACAAAGTGGGTATTTGCTAGGCAATCTCACTAAAATAATTGGACTTGTAACCACTGATACAGCCACGGTTATTCCTCTAGGAATAATATTTTGCATAAGCACACACTATCTACAGCACAACACGTTTTAAGACTAGATCACAGCCCAGGTGTCTGTGAAGGTAAAGAGTAAGAATATGCTTTCAATGCCTTGAATCCAATTTTTTGGGATAAAGTTCTTGATTATTAATATGTATGTTAAGACAATATTATAGCTTTGCAAATGCATGAAAATAATATGACAGGGGTTTGTAGCACTACGAAGGTGTGGTCAAAAGATCACTATAAAAAGTGTTAATAGATAGAGAGTTACCACAGACCACCACCGGAGGAACAGACACCTAAAGGCTAACAATCTGCTAGGTGCCTGGTATGCTTCTATCAAAAACCATGTTGGAAGAAATAATAAATGTGTGTAGTAGAGACAGCTCATCAGGAAACATAGGGACATGCTAACGATGCTCTTGATCCCCAAATACTGCAAGGCCAGTGTTTCTTTTCAGTAGATTTCTAGGAAGCTTGTGACATTAGCGTTGCAGCTACAAACATCCCTCCAGTAGTGCAATCCTAACTAGGACAGAGATCAACCTTCCTTATGTAGCCAGTGAAAAGGATTTTAAGTTATTCCAAGTAAAGACATTAATCTGTAGGATTCACGTACAATATAAAGCTATGCATTTATCAAAAGTGTTAAAATCCTTGCTGAAGTTTTTAGCACCAAAACCAAAAACAGCACAAGAAAAAAAACTAGCGACTATGCCAGTAAGAAAACACTCAAGATAAAAATAAATTGAGAAACTAACAGGTAAGACCTTTAACAGCAAGTTATTTTAATACCTGGTAGATACTATGCCTTTATACCAAAAATCTAGACCCTTGGGTTCAGCCTTCTCTGTTTTCCTTGAACAGTCTCTGAACACACAGTTTCCTTCCGGTGAATGTCACCTTAGCACAGAGTCAAAAGCTTTTAATTCTAGCACGAGTGAAGGACCTAGAAAAAGTAGTTTAGAAAAGTTTGAAACCTCTGTAACACGGCTTTCCAGAAGCACTGCGTTGTTTTGAATCACATACAAAAATCTATCTGGAAGCAAGTTAATTAGCCTAATGAGTACCAACGTTGCCGATTCATCGCACATGAGTCACTACGGAAATAAAACCGTATTCATGGGGGAGCAAGAAACAGCAAGGGCCACCACTGTGTGTGGCCACCCATGTCCTGTTTAGCTGAGCCGGCCACAAGCCTGATAGGTGACGTAATTAAAACGACAGGTTACTCAGGAGTTCAGCCAGCTGACAAATACTAATTCTTAGCTGTTTAAGACCAAGAATCCTGCCCAGATTCTTTATGGTTATACCTATAATTAGAGCTATTATAACTACTGCCTGTAGAATTCATCTTTTCTGAATACAGTCCCGAAAAAGATCAAACTTGACAAACCTGATGCTTATAACTAGTAGAACTAATTTCCGTGCAGCGATCTAGATTCATGTCTGAGAATTTCAAAGCTAAGATCCAAAGATACCATCCACTGTATGGTTAGGCCAAAAGATAAATTTGTAAAGAATTACTTTGATAGAGACAGAACAGTAGATAAGACAGATATAAACAAGCTTTCCTATAAAGTGTACATTGCATACACTTCATCTTTGCTTTTCTTAAAACCCTACTTTTCAGAACTCCTTATATAAAAAAAAATCCATTAAATAGTGAAATAGTATTAGATCAGAGCACTGCTAGTTCGGCTGTATGGAGAAGAGCTGGCAGCAGAAACACTGCATTGAAGGAAGAACAATTTTGAGAGGAAAAACTTAACGCACATTTCCAAATTTGAAAACTGACTACCAGTCATCCCAACACAAACAAAAATGCTTTGAAGGGAGACATGAATAGGAAACTAAAAGTAGTTCTCAGTCCTCACAAGAGTCTCATTCAAGAATTATGATTTAAGATAAATCATATCTGATCACAAAGAAGCTCAATGTCATCTTTTCAGATTGCCAACAGAATTATCATTGTTTCATCGGGCATACATTATGGCTTAAAGGAAAAGCCTCAAATCACAAATCAAATGTCGAATGAGATAAGCAGCAACATTTATGTCACCCCAGTTTTTGGTTCTCATAGGCTCAGAAGAACAGAGAACTAACCTTACTTTAATGATTATTTTTCAAGTAACCTATAAAACACTGTCACTATAACAAATGCAGGAATAACAGCAATTCCTGTGAAGATGCTTACTTCACGAAGTTCAGCGAACTTTTCCAAGATCCACAAAACTACAAGAAATTTATTACATAACTCACATAAAACATTTTTTCTAAAGTGCTTTTTTTTTCCTACAGGTTTTGATTTCCAAACAGCAAGGTGTGAGGATTCCATTTCTGATGTTCATGAATAATTTACTCGCATAGATTTATTGTGAAACGGTGGAACCAACTGCTTGCAACTTTTCATTTTCACCTCTTTCCCACTTTCCCTTAGGTTCCACAACTGGTTCACCCCAGCTGTGCTACTGGAAAGAGAACAGCTGAGGACAGAAGTGTGATAGCTTATACATTCTTACTGATGCACAAAATTGTACAAGTGTTATGTACAACTAAGATGCACGTTACTGAAAGTTACCTGAGAAATAAGCAAGTTCATGCCAGAATTTGGAGGAGGAAAAAAAAAAAAGAAAAATATTCAAGCCATGGGTTATGTGCACATGAAACTACAGCCAAGTCACTAGTCAGAAACAAAGAGTATTTCCTTATTATTCTGTGCAGTCTCCTCAGATGATTAAAATACTTTTTATTCTTAGCTCTGGGTAGAGAATGAGGTTGTCTGCTTTAATAAAAAACCGGGAATGAAGAGAATCAACTGAATTGCACTGGACATACATTTACATGTATGCGCTGCATGCATTTTGCTAGCAGAAGATTGCTTATTTTACAGAAATCATTTAAGGTGACTCTTACCTTCCAGTGAGAAGAAAGCAAGGCCAGTCATTTACACCTTCCTCTAACCCAGCTCTACAATCAGGAGTATTATTTTCTGTACACAAATGATGACTTCCAATACGTGCATAGCTTGTTTTACATAAAAAAGGTGCAATGCTCCATCAATGAGCTAAAGAACTAACTAATAGTCTAGTAATATTTTGTAAGCAATTAGGCAGGAGTTTTTTGTTGAGGAAAAAGAGCAAAGCAACTAAATACAATTATACTAGACACTTTAAAGAAGCTCTAGGTAATTCACAATATAGTTCCCCATTTTACAGTACAATTATGGCTTAAGTGAAGACGGTAAGGGGAAGAAGAGTTAAGCAATTTGTGTCTTGTCCTCTGCAAAGGTTATGCTACTCCAAACTAACCGAACTCAGGCTAGCACTGTCTGAAAACACTTAAGTCTGAGTGAGTTGATGAGAAGTGGCACACTTAAAAATCCATCAGAGGTTAAGTTTGATTTTAAACATCATGCAGATGAAGATTTGTGTAACAGTAAAATTAGTAAGGCCGTGAAGACTAGCCCAGAATGTCATTTATTAAAACATTTCATTAAACAACC